TGGAGAGATGCAAGGAAACCACGAGAAGGGAGAGGAAGTAAGGAAATGTGTTTTAAAGGTCCCATGACATGGTCATTTCTACTGATCATAATTCCATTGTTGAGGTATACTAGAATAGATTTACATTGTGCAATTTTCCAAAATCACATTGGTTTCTCATACAACATCTCTGTATAGTACACTGTAAAAAAAAAATTTTTTTTTACAGTTTTTCCCCAAAAAAATTACAGTTTTTTATTGTATTTCATAATTACAGAAAATCATATTCAATTTACAAGAATAAACGGTTTATTGAAATGTGTCATGTATTTTAACAAAAAAAACCTGTAGAAATGGAATACATTATTTATCTGTTTTTTAGCAGTTTTTAGCAGTTTTTAAATGCGAATTTAACAAAACTAACCGTAAAAATAAATGATTTTCTGTTGGCAAAATTAGCTGCATTTTCTGTAATTTTACTAAAAAATACTTTTGTTATGGCTATATATAACTGTCAAATACATAACAAATACTGTTAATACTCATTTAAAAAATGTATAATTGCAAGAAAATATATGAGTAAAGAAAGAAATATTTAGTAATTTTGCTTAATTTAACCACTACTTTACATTGATAAACTGAAAAAACACAGGTATTGACTATCCTATTATAGTAAAAAAAAACTACATTTTAACACATTTTGACTTTCGCTTTATTGCTACATTTGTATTAATTTGAAGATTTAATTGTTAAATATGTGAATTTCATGTTATAAAAACTGTGTAAAACCATAGAGTTAAAAAAAAACTTGACTGTTAGCATGTTGGGTGCGAATTCCTACCAGAGCACAATTCAGATATAAAATGATACTATAACCCACCAGTAACAGCCTGTGGGTTATATAGGAGACATTTGGCTATGCCATGATACATCTATAAACTAGCTCATAGCTGTCAGCATTCACTGCAGGCAAACCTAATGTGACCATTCACTTATGATTTCTAAGTAGAAGAAGAAGAAGAAGAAGAAGAAGATATCATGTATTCATCACTCAGAGGGAAATGTCTTCCCCCACTCTGTTGTGTTTAAACACATTACACACACAGGGAGGATATACTGTACATGCACAAACACACAGAGCATATACATGCACAAACACAACCACATGCGGATAGGAGAGGGGATCGCAGAGAGGCTGCCAGATAGCCGGCGCCAGGGAGCAGTTTTGGTGTTCGGTGCGTTCACAGCCCAAGTAACATTGACCTGCTGATCTCTTTCAACACAAGAAAAAGCTGTGCCAATTTCTGACATCATTTAGCTTTTCAGATGATCAGAGACGCGAAGCTACCGCAAAGTCACTTGTGCAGCTAACGGTGATTGGCAGACAGTATGCAAAAAACATATTGAGTTTCACTGTAAGCGAAAAATGAAAGGATCTAGAAGTTAAATAACATTAGCATCTTCCCCTAGGCCTTATCACACTAGCATAAGCCCATAACATTGAACATGCTAGCAAGCACTTACAGCCAGCCTACTCTGAATATCAAAACCTTGTTAGCAGTTAGTGCTACCACTATGCTAAATTGGTATTAGCATTGCGATTACAGTAAAGCAACTCTACTAACAAACAACCAACTGTTGTGCGTTCACAACCCAAGTAACATTGACCTGCTGATCTGTTTCAACACAAGAAAAAGCTGTGCACATTTCTGACATCATTTAGCTTTTCAGATCATCAGAGACGTGAAGCTACCGCAAAGTGCCTTGTGCAGCTAACACAGAGTGCATTCTCGTAGCGATTGCTACAACTGCACCATGTTTGTTAGGAAAGTAGCTTTTAGAAATGTATCAATGTTCTAAAATGTGTGACTCAATATTTAAAACACAGAGTGATTGGCGCACAGTATGCAAAAAACATATTGAGTTTCACTCTAAGTGAAAAATGAAAGGATCTAGAAGTTAAATAACATTAGCATCTTCCCCTAGGCCTTATCACACTAGCATGTACAATTTAGCCCATAACATTGAACATGCACTAACAGCCAGACTCTGAATATCAAAACCGTCTTAGCAGTTAGTGCTACCACTATGCTAAATTGGTATTAGCATTGCAATTACAGTAAAACGAACAATGTTGTCCTTTTAGACGTCTAATAATATCCAACTATTCAATGCATCACATTGAAAGAATAGGCCTTCGCCAAAGCATGTTGACAAAGCTAGTAGCTACAGCGAAATACATTTACAATCCAAGTCAATTAACTTAAATATGTATTGTGATAATGTCCCACACAGCTAGTTGGTTACAACAATCTACAGTGATGTCACAGGGATTTCAGGCCCCGGCTCCACGAGGACAAATACGGCAAAACGCATCGGAGTAACGCAAATGCAACCGCAAAAAACCTTCCGTCCCCACGCAATATACACCGGATTGTGTCAAGCTCCACGAGACGGCTCCGTTTACATCCAAACGCTGGAAAAGCTGCAGTACATATGCCGAACCTGTACGTGGCGCTGTAACTTCCTCCACAAAAGCAGCAACTTCCTCCACAAAAGCAGCGAAGAAGAATGGTTGTCATGGCTGCACTTCTGTGTATTCTCCGCGGTGGGGGCCGACAGAACCGGGCAGAGTTTTTCGCCGGTCAGCGTGTGTTAAAGTTTAAATCTTCCGGACAAAATTATAAAAGTGCCGGTCAAAGGTCTTCATTGTTATTTATTGAGCTTTAAAACAAATGAATAACGACGATATAATGATATATAATCATCAAATACATCTCTTTTTCCTCTCTTCTGACAGCGTCAGTGTCTGTCTCATGCAGCAGCTGATCCTGTAATGAGTGACCCGACAGTAAAAATGAACATATTTATAACTAGTTTAGGTAGTTTGAGAGGTAATTAAAATAGCTAAGGGTGATGATCTGACTTGAAGTGTGTGTTTTGCTCCCGCTGCATCACAGCGGGAGGAGCTGCGTGTCTCCGTCCTGTCAGATTAGACTTCACTCGCGTTTATGTCCATATCGAGATAAAGATAAATAATCTGAATTCAAGGAGGAGCTCCTGTAGATGTTGCACAAAGAACTGTAGCATGGTCAGTAGCGACTGGAGCACGATAGCAACCCCGCGGGGGAGAGGCAGGGAGAGGCGGGGCTATGAAAACGAATGACCGTATAGGCGACTCCACGGCCCCGTTGGACCCCCCAGAGCGCTCAGTTCCCAGATCTATCCACCTTTGGACCCGTTGTCGTTTGCGGGGTCTGTTTCTACGTTTCCCTTACGGCGTCGTGGAGCTTAGAGGGCTATACGCATGAGAAATATGCGGATTCAACCAGTTTCCGTCCTCGTGGAGCCGGGGCCTCAGGCAGCAGGTAGTTGAAGGTTAAGTACATAAATGCACTTGTTAATCCATTTGCTATGGCTACAACTGCCTCGTGGAACAACAAAGATTTATTTTCTGTTTGTTTAATATAGGAATGCATCTTTGTCTATCACACTTTGCTTCTGTAGATCTCCCATCTGACTTTATTGTGAGCTTGTGTTTTCACAAAGCACAAAGTAAATTGAGCATGTTTTATGAGACTGAACAGTCTCATGGGGTATTGGACTCTCTTAAAACCCAGGTAGGTGCAGAATAGGTTTCTCAAAAATAAAGCAAACAGGAAGGCAGTACTATGCATGACTAAAAATGATATGTACACGTTGATTAATACCTACTTAACTTGTACTTGGGACAGGACTGCAAAGTACAGATGGGATATTCCTGATCATAATCAAACTTATATAAATGTGCACCAACATTAGTTATCAGTGTTCTCTATTCTCAATTTAAAAGAATAAACTGACAATAAAGAAGTCTTATAACATATTTTGCTTGTGTCTTTGGAAAGCCTTCAGTGTTTGTTTTATTATTTATCAACTAGTTACATTGTCATTTTGTAAATTAAGAAAATAAAATCCAAAGAATTAAACAATTATAATTGCAATGTAAATAGTTTGCACCCCATTTTTTTACTTTTAAATTAATCTTTATGGTGTGGCGTTACCAATTCTTAAAATAATACAAGGATTGGATGTTCATCAAAGGATTTTCAGGGCAATCGATTTGCAGCCAATCAGAGACGAGACTTTTGCTGCACGACCCATCATGCACTGCGGCAGACAGAGCGCATGCACAACTACAGAGACCGCTCTGTTAGCACGCAGGCGGTGAAGAGCACTGCACGTGGCGCGCCCAGAGGAGAGGAATCAGCACTTTCAGAGGTAACGGTAAAAACTATTTATCAACGGATTCAAAACACTCAAGATTTAAAACATTGCAAACGTCAAAGTCCTAGCTATGGTATACATTTTGTTTAACGACCGAAAACAAAGTAATGTTAGCTAACGTTACCATAGCTAGGTAGCAGCTAGCTAGGTAGCAGCTAGCTACCATGCTTTGAAATTGAGCTCTTCTATGCCGTCATTATGCAGGTTGTTAATTTTTAATTTTTTAATGGTGCTCGAGTGGCTGAGCTGATGTGCAGTGAATGTTTCAGAGTTACTTTTTCGCAATATTATTTAATAAATAGTTTAGCTAGCTAACTAGCATACATTGTCACTAACTCCTAATTTTAGCTCAATCCTTTGTTTTATAATCGATTTTTTTGTGGGCATAATGTTACACACAATGCACATTATCCATATCTTTTAAATCCTATGTTAAGGCTATAATCAGAGGTGGGAGAAGTTCTCTGATCTTGTACTTGAATAAGAGTAGAAGTACTCGGGTCTTATACTTGAAGTGTGGTATTACTGTACTTAAAGCTGCTGCTGTGTTATTTAAGTTATTTTTGCTTAAGCATGTGCAAACTTGTGTCTCTTTTTTTCCCATAGCTGTTACTGTAGCTGCAGTACCAGTAATTGCAACCTACCAAGAATAAACAGCAGCCAGATATCCTCAAGTAAGATTTCTTGCCATATTACAAGTGTTATCAATTCTCAATGTCTTATATGGTATTGCTATGCAAACAGTGAAAGGATATGGAAATCATCAAGAGGTGGCTAAAATATGTTTTTCTGCTGACCCTGTCCAGAGCAGTACATTGCTTTGCTTCCAGGTGGTTGCTCCTGTCTGCATCTCCAAGCTCGGGGCATACCGGCCATCAGTGGCGGACTGGCCATCGGGACGCTTCGGTACCGGCAGGGGCGGACTGACCATCTGTAGAATCACCGAACGGCCGGGTCGGTTTGCTGTTTTTAAACGGCATCATTGAAGTTAAGCTGACAGGCGACAGAGGTCCACCGTTTCCCAGCCCGCCCCTGCCGGCCATCATCTACTCTAGGTAATACACTGACTATGGATAAGTACCTTTTATAAAACCCCACTTTAAACACCCAAACTATCCCTTTATGATGTGACATTTTCTACACTGTTAACATTAGGAAACACTTAAGAAAGAAAAGAAAGCTGCAGGAGCTGATCATTCCTAAAATACAATTGGCCATGTGACCAGTAAAAAAAACAAAACAATCTGCACTAAATATTTTTTGGATTTATAAATGTTTTGTGACTTTTTCCTGTTGTGTACCTTAAGGGAGTTCTCCCCTGACAGCTGGACACTACGTGATAGCAGAGGACCAGACCACCGTCAGTGACTGTCCTGAATGTTGTCGACGCCCTGATGCTGATGTTTGCAGCATATTACTGCCTCAACATCAGTTATCGCTCAGAACTGGGAGCTACCCTGGAGTTCTTGCAGAGGTAAGACTTGAATTGTAATTATTAAGTAATTCCATCTTAAACCACAGAGTAGAGGATTGTGCACATTTCTGACACACGATAAGTGCTCCTGACAATACAAGATAATCGAGATAAAAAGATTATTGTGCTGCATTCTGTTTCGCATTATGCTCTCGTTTTGTCTTGGGTTGTAAATGCAGCGTACCCCATTCCTTTGCAGTGGTGTGCTTTGGCTCCTCCCTAAAAGCTCAAACTCACTCTTAGCCAATCGGTGGTATGTTTACTTCAGCTCAATGAAAATGACGGAAAGAGGGCCCTTTGTCGACAACAAAAGAAAACCTGGTATTATTGCAGTGAACAAACACATTAAAACTTCTTTCGGTTAACTACGATGCTTTTACACCGCTCACTCTGCTACTGACACGCACCTCATCTGCCCCAGTTACACACAAACCTCTCAAGATGGGACTCGTAGCTACCCAAATCTTCAAGTGACCGCTTGCTCCTGTTTACAGACCTGCTGCGATACTGTCCAGTGTGATAGTGATGCCAAGTGACGACTTTATATAACAAAATCTATTCAAACCAATGCTTTAAATGCACAGATATGATCATAGCAGTTAATGAAAAGTACATTTAAGAGTAGCATTGCCCTTTGACTTCAAGCTGTATAACTGTAAAGACAATTAATGGCTGTATCATCCACAGAATGTGTAATTAAACACTAAATGTAAGTGTACTTCTGTCTTAACAGGTGCCTATTCAAGATCAATCCGGACAATGGGAGAGTGGAGAGGAAGGAATACAAACAAAAACAGCACTCGATAAAGATAAAGGTGCATTCATTCATTACAAACGTCGCTGACTTTGAATGGAGAGAGTTGAAACACACACAGTCATGTACACACGCACGCACATAACTGGTAGATTTCTTTAGTGTTTATAATCGTTATCTTTTGAACAAAATGTTGGCTATTGTTAAATGTTGAAATGTTTCATTGCCGATCTATTCTGCTTTATTATTACTTAAAATATATTTTATTTATTGTTTTTATTTTTGTGATTTATATTATTTTCAATAATATATTGTATATATTTGTGATTTTTTTTCTACAAAACATCGGACAGTTAATGTAAACTTGGGCTTTTGCAAAGTAAAATGACATGTTTACTTTGTGTTTTACATGTAAATGGTCTTAGATTTCATGAAGTTTGCTGACGACACGACCGTCATCGGCCTGATCACCGACGGCGACGAGACGGCGTACATAGAGGAGGTCGAAAACCTGACATCTTGGTGCCAGGATAACAACCTCCATCTCAACGTCAGCAAAACAAAGGAGCTGATTGTGGACTACAGGAAGCAGCAGGGAGAGGGACACGCCCCCATCGCCATCAATGGGACTACGGTGGAGAGAGTCAGCAGCTACAGGTTCCTTGGGGTCCACATCACTGAGGACCTGACATGGACTCATCACTGAAGACCTGACTCATCACTAAGGACCTGACATGGACTCATCACTGAGGACCTGACTCATCACTGAGGACCTGACATGGACTCATCACACTAACACCATCACCAAAACAGCGGCTCTTTAAAAACAAAATTGTATTAGTCAATAATACACAATAATATTTATCGTATTTTAGCTTAAAAACGTTTCTGGTCCTACCCCCCCCCCCAGCGTACATTGTTCATGGAAATACAAGTTTGGGTCATCGTCATCAGCATCTGTGATATTGGATCCATTCTTTTGTACAAAACAACCAAAAAGAAATAACTTTTACAACGACAAGAAATAGCAAGCATCACTTCACAGGTCCTGCTCAGAACCATTCAGGATTTGGTTTCTAAATAAGAGTTTTAGTTTAGATAAAGTTGCACAGTATTTCAGCTCATCATTACAGTTATTCCACAGATGAACACCTTCTGTTGTGATGCAATGAAGTTTGGAATTTGTTCGAATTGGTGGTTTTTAAAAAAAATGCAGTTTCCTCTCAACATGTGTATGTTTTCTCTCCGTGTGAAAAGTCCCTGGACATTATGATGTAATTGTTCTGCAGGCTGAGGAAGTTCAACATGGACTCCAGGATACTCTGCATCTTCTACAGGTGCACCATAGAGAGTATCCTGACTAGCTGCATCACGGCCTGGTACGGCAGTGCAATCATATTCCGTTTACTTGCATATAGACTCTTCTTGCACTATTTCTATTCTATTTTATTTGTTCTATGTTCTATATATATGTTGCACTGTTGGAGGAGCCTGTGACTTCAGTTGTTCATTGCCATGTCTACACTGAAGCTAATGTACAAATGACAATAAAGCCTTGAATCTTGAATTTACGGTATTTTTTCAAATGACAACAGTAATCTTCTTTCTTTCAGCTTTTTTTGATCATTTAAAAAAATATTTATTCAGTTTTTCTAGAGGTGTATAACTATATTCTAACAATTAATATATGTTAAAAGAAAAAGATTTCCTGTAAAATTACAAAAGAAATTTGGCAAAAAATGTGATAGTTAATGTAAACTAAGGCTTTTGCAAAGTAAAATGACATTCTTTTCTTTGTGTTTTAATGGTAAATGGTCTTAGATACACGGTACTTTTTTGTAATAATAAAAGTAATTTTATGTATTTTAGCTTTTTTTTATCATTTTTTAAAGATAATTATTCCGTTTTCTAGAGGTTTATGACTCTATTCTAACAAATAATATGTTAAAATAAAAAGATTTCATGTAAAATTACAGTAATAGAGGCTACTTGTGGTAAGGTAAGTAACTTTTTTTTTACATGTTATCTCCGTATTTTATTTTACAGTTTTTTTCCTTTTTTTAACGGACATTTTCTGGCGCCCCCGTCGCCAGAAAATTTCCGTTTTTTTACAATTTTTTTTTTTACAGTGTATGTGTATTCACTCTGTCCTAAACGGCTTGTTGGAGCTCTTGCCCCCCCCTCCCTATGAGCCCACTGTGCTCTGATTGGTCAGCTCGCCCGACTCGTTACAGCGGAACATCAGTGATTATGCGTTAGCAACCAGAAAATGACACCAGTAATGACAAACAGATGAGAATGCTGCGTGGGGTCTGGGTGCCGGGTTGGCGGGACGTTGCGCGGCTCGCTGCTGTGAGGAATGGACAGTGTGAGCTGGGTTACTGGTGTCATTTCCTGGTTGCAGCGAGACGTCGCGAATGGACGCAGGAAGGAGGGGGTGCTGAGGGGGTGCTGAGGGGGCTGCAGCTCCACTAGCAGCTCTGTTTGTGATGACACCGCACAGCTGATCGTCTGACACACCCAAACACCCCCCCCCCCCACCTGCTGTTGTAGACCCAAATAAACAAAATAAAATAAGTTAACTCATTTTCAAAAACAGATAAAAGCCGTTCTTAAAATGTATAAACAAACAATAGTTTAATAATTCTTTGAGTGCACAATAGAAAGGAAATAATTGAGAGAAGAGAAAGCATAACAGAAATATTGTGGGTTACATTAAATAAATGTGAACAGAGGTTACATTATCGTAACGGTATTGTTGTAGGCATAACAATAACATTAAGTGACGGCACTTACACTTGTGTTGGCTGTTAAACTGAGACAAATCACGTAATTCATGTCTCAGCTGTGACTGAATGGAAATGACAATAAATAAAAATGTAAAACAAAAAAAGCTGTTCCTGCTGACAGACATTAAATCTGTCTCTCTTTTAATTGTATTGTGTTCATAATAAAAATGAATTGGAGATCATGAAAAATGATAAATTATTTTTGTCCACTTTGTTGTTCTGATATCTCACATATTTTTAGATAGATGATACATTAATTGAAACAAAACACTGTATAAACTGAGGAGTGACTCCTGTGAGTTTAATGTGTTATTTTCACTCCTCTGGTAAACTGCTCTGATGTTAAAGGTCCCACGTCATGCTTTTCTGGTTATTACCCGTCCCCTTGTGTGTTATGAAGGTTTTTCTGCATGTAAACGGTCTGCAGAGTCACAAACCCTCAAAGTACACCCTGTAGCGAGTAAAACTCTAACACAGAAAAGACCTGTCTATGCTGCCCCAGAACGCCTCGTTGGAGATTTCTCTTTTTCCATTTGTTTCTTCCGGGAACAAAAATGGACCAATCCGCGGAGCTCCTCACACACCAGGACCTTTAGCGTAAATGTTCAACTAACAGGGAGTCCCATTGACTTGCATAGAGCTCCCAGGTTGGTAATAGACGAGTTGGGATCGCGGAGAAATTCTCTCCGCAGACCCATTCTCACAGCGTTTATAAACCTTTTTCTTACTCAATATCAAGCCACACTTATTGTTTTTACTTCGGCTGTGAGTGTTTGTGTGTGCTCAGGATGAGTTTCGCGCTGTCTCGCTGTATCGCCGACCCGGAAACCACACCAGTAAGCCAGATCATTGAGCAGCAAGCCTCGCAACGTCCCGACCAATCAGAGCACACTGGGCTCACAGGGAGGGGGGGCAGGAGCTCCAACAAGCCGTTTAGGACAGAGAGTGAATACCTGGTGAATACACATACTTTACAGAGATGCTGTATGAGAAACCAAAGTGAGTTTGGAAAATTGCACAGTATAAATCTATTTTAGTAGACCTCAACAATGGAATTATGATCAGTAGAAATGGCCATGACATGGGACCTTTAAGGAGCATCAGATCAGTGCATGCCCTGCATCGTCCAATCAGTGAGCGATACACAGTAAAGGGGCGGGGCGAGTGGCTGATTTCACCGAAAGATGGTCTGGTGGCTCCTCCGTTATCGCTCCTCGGTCCTCCGGCACAAATAAGCCTCATGGGACGCTCCTCAAGATGGCGCAGAAAAATCAACTTCCGGTGAGACCGTTACGAAAAATAAGTAACTTGAGATCGACCCCAAGTTCAAGCCAAGTTATCTTTGTTTGTGTAAATTACTTATAAATGAGAAATGTCTAATGGTGTTGCTTATTATTACTAACACTTCAGCAACATGTCTAAAGATAAAGGTTGAACCGTGCTGATTACATTTGACAAATATAAGAGTTAAAATAGTGTTTCAACAGCATATTAATGTTGACGCAACAAGCAGCCATCTTGGATTTTCAGTCAGAAATCCGACTTCAACTGTGTTCTAGTTGAATTTTGCCACTTGTAATTCTGACTGTGACTTCCCGTTACAGTGAAACACACCATAAATATAGCAGATGCCACTTTCTAGCATATAAATTGCCACTTTCTACCAGTGTGTTCCTAACTGTCTGTCTTTATTAGTATATGCAACAGGAAATGCCTACAGATTTCTTCTCCAGCTCAGTAACATATCTTCCTCTGTTTGGTACTTCTCACACAGTCAAAAAATATCCTATTTTCTGTGTGGCTGGCAGGTCTGTTTTCTACCAAAAGTTTGTGGTAGGAAACTATATGTGTGAGCTGGTCTTTGTCCATCAGCAAGCAAAAGCCATCCCACCCAACTGGCCCCAATTACACACCCTTCCCTGTGACACACTGCGCCGACACGTCTCGCAGCAGAACCCAGACAGGTGTAATTTCATGACACAGGCTGGTCCGCTGTTATACAGCCGGCCACCATCTCTAAGGACAGCTCATTTAGTCCACCGCCCACCTCATCAATCTACATCTGGGCGACTGGCAGCATTGTTAATAGATCGGCCCTATTTTTTCAGATTACATTCACAAATTGGTGATTTGTCTGCTTGCTTGTCAACTATAACTAGTGATGATGCAACTAGTGTGGTACATTTCAAACATTGTGTGTATAGCAGGTTATATATCCGGAGACATAACTCTATTCCAGTTTAAAAATACCTTTGGTATGTGGTCGTATATC